AAACCCGGTTTCTAGCGTTGTAAGTCCGCAGACATACTGCTGTGCCACTGGGGGGGCTGTTATACTTGATTTATTTTGAAAAAAAAAAGAAAAAAATAACGATCACGATAAATTATTGGCACTAGTATTTCCAACCTGATCGACACATTAAGCACACGTGGATTACGAATTAACTGGTCAGGGCTCCTAAGGTTGAGGTATAGCCGTCCTTAATTTTGAAACACTGACCAGAGAGAGAGGGAAACAACTTTGAACTGAATAACGAGATTCACCGTGACTCTTATAAAGTAGTCATAATTGAAAAGTGCCAGGTGTGTTCAACGTCATCGCGGTATGAACCTTTGGCCTTCCGATCCACAGTCCGGCACGTTGACCACTAGGCCATCTTCGGGTAACAAGTTAAAGAATGCATCGTGTGTGTGTGTGTTGAACTATATCGGAAAGTCATACTTTTAACTTTAGATAGAAAAGTAAAAACACGTAAATTTGTTCAGTAATATAAGTATTTGCTGTCTTTAAGAGTCTTCAAACATATTTCAATGTGATGGGATCAAATTTACCAAAGATTTTGCTATGAGCAGAAATCATGCAATTTACATTCTTTCGTGTAATAATGACTCAAAAAAAGTCAAAAGTAACTTGAACAATATAAATATTATAGGTTTGAAGTTTTTCTTACACTAAATGGGGCTGGATTTCCAATTTGTAATAATTATATAACGTTCAAAGAAAATGAAAATTTATAACGAGTATGGCCGATCTTGTTTTTTTTTTTGGCGTTGAAAGGTTTCAAGAGAAAAATTAGAACGATATACATTTCAAGAACCCACGAGTGAAAACAAAGAAGACTTTGTTACTTTTTAACAACCACACTACATCTGCCATACCCAGTGCCGACGAGGCTTTTCGATCAATACCAAGGCTCATCAGGAAGGATGGGATACGACAGACAAAATGTGCAGGTTTGAAGTTTGTTGCTTTAAGCTAAATACAAAATCCATTGTGGAAACCACAGAAGTCCACAAGAAAGCGTAAGCTACCATCAGTGCAGTACCGTTTTACACTGTTTGAAGATTTCCGTACTTAGAACACAATGGCTCATCCCTGCATTTTGGATACTTTTTTTAAACCTTTTAAACGATATAAACGTGGATCATATTTCACTAACGACAGTGTATGATTTGTTTACATAAAGGTATAGTTACAAAATGACTCGTGTGTTATGCTGTTCTTAACATACTTTGTATGCATTTTATCCATATAATTAACATCATGGGAAAAATTGTTTTAATGTTCACTGTAAAAGACAGGAGGAACTTTATTACATCTACGGTTATTACTGTTATTTTGCAACTGTTCTTATATTATAATACTTTTTATAAACATGCGAAAAATTACACATGGCTACCTAAGTTTGGATTGACAGACTAGAGAGGAAACAGCCAATCAACAGCACCCATCGCAAACTCTTAGGCTACTCTTGTCCACAATATAACGAGTCTTGACAGTCACTCTTATAGCGAACCCACGACCTCAAAGTGCGAAGCGTGTTTTTGTGGGAATGGGGCACGAGCTGTAAATCCTTGAATTCACAGTCTGGGCACGTTAACAAATGGGTCACGGCCGACCCATTACATTCTTAGACTCAAATAAACCAAGGGTAACAGCAAAGAAAGTTCTACCAATATACAATATATATTTTTTTTATTCGACACATTTAGTGTTAAGATTACACAAGTTATCGGAGATAACGAAAAAGTATAAAAGCATCAATACAATGACACTAAACATTTGATGTAAAAAAAAAGTAAAAAAAAAATAGTAACAAGTCTTGCAACTAAATTGTCTTGGGGTTTCCCGGAGTAATGAAATAATCGAAGACTAGACCCGAACTCCCTAACACAGTAAAAAAAAGCCCCAGAAGGTAGTGTAAAAAAAGAGCCAGGTTAGGCCATGTTTTCTAAATTAAAGTTCCAAATTAATAATTTATATGTGAGATAAAGATCTCTTGACTTTATTACGTGACTGAAATTCTGATTACCAAGTTGATTTCCACATCTATGTAAAAAAAAAAAAAGATACAAAAACACTTGTTTTATATGTTTTAGTCGGGTTCACAGGACGTGGTGGAACTTCAAATCACGTGTTATGTAATTACCGTGGTTTATTTCTGTTGACCTGGTAGCAGCAAGACAACAAATAAAAGCCTTTAGGAAAGGTAGGCTAATAAGCAAGGAAAGGAACGACTAAAACAAGCTCTTGTTGATTAGCAAAAACATTTCCCTCTTAACCACAGATCGTTTATCCAGTTTCGGTTGGTTGGTTTCTGAAGCGCAAAATTGCGCAAGGGGTTATCTGCGCTTGCTCACCTCGGGAATCAAATCCCGAATTTTTAGCGTTCTCTGCCCCCCTATGTCTATTCTGTACGGTTCTCACGGTGTTTCAGCGATAACCTTCAGGCCTTATCACGCTGAAATTTGGGGTTTTATTCATACAGTTGGCACAACACAGATAGCCCTTGCGCGACTTTGCGATTAACAACAAACTGTTCCTGGGAGAATAATTAACGAGGTAGATGAAATAAGTTTTGGAAGTCTCTAACAGAACTCATAAAAGTAAAAAAAACTGTACGAAGAAGCGTCAGTAAAAACAGATAAACCAAATTACATTTTTTGA